CTGTGCTGAAGGTGAAGGGAAAGGATGTCCAGGCAAGGGCTGTAGAGGTTGCAAGAGATGCCCAGACAGCTTGCAGAGATCCTTGAGATCTTTGAAACTCAACTGGATGAGGCAACCTAATCTAACTTGGAAGATCCCCCTGCTTTCAGCAGGTTGGCCTAGAGACCTCTAGAGGTCCCATCTACCTGTTTTAATATTTGATATCATGTTGATGGACAGACCTTTGCAAAGGGAGGCAACAGCTGGAGTGACAAGCGTGGTGTTTTTTGGTGTTTTGTAAGATGAGAACGTCTAAAGCTTTGAGGCTTTTGAAGGTCGAATGCTATTCGTTATATTTGGTGAGTGCTGACTCCTCAGGTAAGTATAGCAGTAACTTTTATTAGAACACTGAAAAGACCCTTTACTAGATGGTTGAAGAAGAAATGTCAGATATAGTAAAATACAGTTGGTTAATGCTATTTCCCCCGTTTTCTTTTTCCCCCCTTATGTTTGCGCATAAATAGAAGGTTTCATTTTAGTGAGTGTTAGGATTACATTGTGCATAAACAATTCTGTGGGTTTTTTTCCTCTTTTGGTTGCATTCCGTATATGATCTTTGTGAGTTGTAACTGTGTGAGTTGCTCATTGTTTTACTGTTACACTCCTACGTGCATGAGTGTGGGTGTTTTTTGTTTTGTTTTGTTTTGTCTTGAGGAGTGATATGTAAGTACATAAACACTTGCATGCATATGGCATGTGCTTTCAAACTAAGGTTGTACCTGCCTGGAAAACCTTGCAGTTTCCTATTTTATCTTTATAAAATGTTTCCTAAAATAACAGCTTATATTATTTAATTATGCTATAAAATATGGAATGTGAATAACTATATTTAGTCAAGTAGTTATATCCTCAGGGAAGATACAGTGGAATCTGCCTTTCACTCTGAGCATTTAAAAGTGCTGTGTGTTTTCAGGTCTGCTTTTCTTAACTGTGTCTTTCTGAAAATTGCAACGAAAAGAGGCATAAGTTATAATAGGCAAGGGAATAATAGAGAATAAAGAATAATAGAAAATAGGCAAGGGAATAATTGGGCAAAAATGAGAGTCATGTGAAGAGAAGCGAGTATGATGCCCCTTTAATAGAGGGCATGGAATACCCATCTACTTTCTGGCCTGTTTTCTCTTTTCTGATACCATCCTTGAGCATTGGATTGCATTAATTGATTACAGGATCTTTAGTCCTGAAGTTGATTCTGGCTTGTAAACTCAACTGTTCTTTCAATGTTGCTAGCACTGAGCTGCAAGAGATGTTGAGAAAAATGGCAAAAGTGAGGAAGAAGGGAAAGGAGAAACAGAAGAGACAGGAAGGAAAAGGATGGCGAGGGCAGAGGGAAAGATTGGGAAGAAGAGACTTCATGGAGCCAAGTCTCAGCTGTGTAGGTCTGTAAGACAAAAAGAGCACCTACAAAAGAGTAGGTGCTGTGAATCCTATCCTTCTCTTCGTGTCTACGAAAAATAAGTTTTCCTGCAAACTGACTTTTATGCCATGATTCTTCAGGTGCACTTTTTTTTTTTTTAATAGGAGTGTCTCTACCTGACTTTCTTGGGATTATGTTCACATGAGAACCAGTAGTGCTACTTTTGGATACTGTTTTCTCTTTAGGCTCCAGCCATACAATAAAATCTTCACTTTTAAATCTGGTAGATTAACTGTTGTATGTTACTCTGCCCATGCACTTTGTCTTTGTGCCCCTGTCTGCTCTGCATGCATATCTATTACATTAAAGTTAAATTGTAGAGAAGTCCAGTCATTGCTTATTAGCCTCTGTTTCCCCCACAAAGCCCTTTTTTTAGTTAATAGGGGTTTTTCGGCATGTCTGACTTAAGATGGAAAAAAATATTATGATAGTGGCATGGATTTATCATTCTTTACCTGTAAATGCCTATTTAAATAGGTAAAGATAACATTTCTCCTTTGCCAAACTAGTAACAATCAATTCCATGTGTGTAATACTGAGAAGACTCTACGGAGGGAGATGCTTTTTTCAATTTGGAAGACCACTTTTGTCCATCTTTACCCCTCTATGGCCTTGCTATAGTTGTTTTGGCTGACAACTTAAAAAAAAAAAAAAAAAAAAAAAAAAAGCCTAAAGGTTTAACCTTAGGAACTAAATGAGTTTCCATGCCTAGAAAACTGTCACTAGTCATCTTGCAAGTCTTTACTCCCAAATATGACAGTGTACAGTTTGACTTGGCTAAACTTAGTCTTGTTGCCTTGAAGTCAGAGGGCATCACTGGATAGTGAAGTGTTTTACTGAGTCACTGTCAACTTAATTATTTGTATAATGCGAACATAGTTTTTAGCTGTCTTAATAATAGAGGTCAGGTATGTAGGAAATAATGCGGTAGAAGTACAGTAGAAAGAAAGTAGAGATGGAGGTTCACATAGCTTTTGTAAAACATACAATCACCTGGAAAAATAGTTCATCTCTAACATTTTAACTTAAGAACTCTTAAGTTTTGTTCTTCCTGAGTGTATACATAAGAGGAAGTGCTTGTCTTTGATAGAAACTTGAGGGTCGTAAGAGTTGCTGCCCTCCTTATTCAAACACAAAATCATGGTCATATGCAAGAGCTGGAGCTGACTAATGGTTTCTTTATTCTTACTATCAGCAGTCGTTCTCATCCCTTCAGCGTGACTAGTTGCTGTCCCATGACATCTAAATTGTTTTTGTTTTGATCACATAGTTACGTATTATTCATGTACTGTGTTTGGATTGAATACGTTCTCTAATCTTCAAGGATATCTTTAGCATATTCTGTAGCCTTGCTGGCTCATAAAACAAAACAGTATTTTTACTAATTGAAGGGACAGTCAGGATTTTGCTTTGAAACTAAAATAGTTGGGACTGTTATATACCTGTTCACATTTGCAAGAGAATACTGCTTCCTACTTACTGGAAGGAAAAGTGAAACTTCATTGACCAATAATTAGTGTTTTGTGCATTTTTTTCTTTTACTTTTTTTAATGTATTTGAAGGGAAAAGTAGCAAAAAATAATTGTCGTTGCTTCATGTGTAAAACTTCTCAAGGAGCTCCATTTGCTCACAAGCCACATGCAAAATTCATATCCTCAGAAGGTTTACAGTTAGCCTAGGGAGGGAGTTAGAAATGGATGGAAGAGTCACTTTGAGCATGGATGTGTGTTTTGAACATCAAGTCATACAGGTTAGCGTAGAAGGAGCTGTGCCTTAACTTGCTGTCCTTGCTCTGTGTGTGTGTGCGCACGCATGTATGATGTCTTATTATTTATTTTTTTTATTTATTGCTATGGCAGGCAATTGTGTGGAGATTTTGATGGTGACATTACTTGGCAAACATTTTGGAATCAGCTCAATATGTGACATCACACCCCTTTAGGGTTTTCCACATAAAATGAGTCCTCCAAAGAAAACACAAAAATTGAGACTTAATCTGAGACCTATTATTACATCCTCTGAGGTCTCATTAGGCACCTCAGTAATTTTTTTCCTCCCAATTGCCAGACAGATATACTAAATGTTGCAGATAATAGTGGTAAATGCTTTATAGTCTTCTTGGGGAATATGGAGGAGGGGCAGGGAAGAGATTTTTAATCAGATATTTATCCTGTTTTCACAAGAGAAGTAAAATACGCAGATCATGATGTCTTTCCTCCTGTGCAGCTTTTCACGCTGTGTGAGCACGTGTGTCTGATGTAACATTTTGCCACATCTAGCAACTGTAGTTGTTTAGCTCCGTTTCCAAGTGATGAGCGTCTCGCAGATTTTTCAGAAAAAATAGAGCATAGATGAAAACTTTCATTCATCTCCCTTTTTTTTCTTTTCTTCCCTGGAGATGATGTCTCACAAAAATGGCTTTTAGAGGAAAAAGTTGATTCGGTGCCTTATGGGGGGTCTCTGACTGTTTTTCCTCTTTACTTATGCTTGCCTACGTGTGTGTGTGTGTTTATATAGGAGAGGTTTTTTCCCCCTTTATTTAGTAGCAGTGCATACACACAGCAGTGTGCTTGGCGGAGAACATGTGTGCTATCTCACGTAGACCTGAAGCAGAGAGGTGTAGTGGGAAAGTAGTGATAGCTGCCAAAGCGCATGGAACATGATGTTACACAGGAGAAGGAGAGGAAGAATTATCTATGTGTAATGTGAGTTTAGCATAGGCTTGACATTCTCACACCCAAACACTTCCATATGGAAACTGTTCCTAAGCAAAGGGAAATACAAAGAATATTCTCCTATCTTCTAGCATAGCTATCCAAGGAATAGGAAGTGTTCTTCAATTCTCTTTTCCTTTTTATCTTTTCTTTTTTTTTTTCTTCCCTAGGGATGTGTTTAGATTTACTTCAGATTTAGAAAAGTCACAGTTTAAAATTGCTTTTCTGAAGACACTAAATTACATTAAATTCCTTGTAATCCCTTCTCTTCCAAGAGTTGGTATTGAGGTCCTCACACTGTGCTTGAATAGCCTCTTGTGCTTTTAGGCTCTTCTTGATCAAGTGTAAAAGTTTTGTTTAGCATTTTTATGCCAATCCAGATATAGGAACTTTGATTTTCCTCCAAAGCTTTCTGTAAACCATCCTCTGCCTTTGTTTTCTCTCTGTATTTCTGTGATCTGTCCAAATCTCTTCTTTTTGTCATTTCTTTGCTTTTTTAGCTGTTCTAGGCTGCATGCCTGATTCCATATTAGGTAACTTAGCGAACGCTGATCTTCTTTAAAAAAGAAATAACAATATTGCTGGGTGCAGCCGCTCGATAGTAGCTGTCACTTCTAATACATCTGTGCATCTCCCTGTACACCCAACAGTACAACATACCTGTTGTTCTGTAACAGCCTTGAAGAATTTGCCAACCTGCTAACCCCACATGCTAAGGGAAACATAGACAGTAGTGTTCATTAGGAGTAACTAGTCATGTTTTTATAGCTGAACTCTTGAAATATCAGGTAGAGGTTAAATTCTTAGTAGGATGTAAGAGGTAACCTTACCTTTCGCATTCTTGTTCCAGTAAGCTTGTAAACTCATCACTTTTCTCCATGTATTCAGCGTGCTTCCTCTTCTCTTCCTCCAGCTCATACAGAGTCTGTCTGTGTGATTTTTCTACCATTAGAAGTTGCTCGAGCATTCGTCTGTGGGTTTCTTTCTGTTTCTCTACAACTTTATCAAGCTACCAAAAAAAAAAAAAGGCAGAAAACCCTGAAGTCCTTCGAAATTCATACTTGTTCAGGTTTTCACTAGGAAAATGTATAAAGGGAAGCTTAATTACATAAAATACATTTAATAGCCAATTGGCTAGATCATCTTCTATCCACTTAGGAAGGATTGTTTAATATTGACAGCCTATTTGTAAGAATTTAAGAAAGTAAATTCAAGTAGTGTTTTCCAAGACCCTAAGTCACCTTCTCATTCTGCTCCTGCCATGACTGATCTTTAGCAGCTCTTAATTAGCAGTTACTGCTCCCAGAGCTGGACTTTTCTCATTGATCACTGTGGTAGAGAAACAGATGTCTTGGCAAAAGAAGCCTCTACTCATTAAAGTTGACTTTTACTTGAACACTAATAGCTCTCTTATTTGTAGCTCCATAGAAAATAAGAGCATTGACTTCTCCTTGTAGGGTTTCACAGCAAATGGGCAATAGAACCAGAGGTGCAAAACAATCCTGTCTGCTGTGCTTGCTTTGTGCATGACTCCATGTTTCTGGAACCAATAAGCACTAAGCAGTCATCCTGCTACTTTGAAATGGTTGGCAGTATTTTTATTAAACAGTAGGGCTGTTTCAAAGAAATGCATATACTTTTAAAAATGTAAGCACCAAGAAGGGACTAATCATTTGGGGGGCTACAGGATGGAGTAAGTAGATGACTCTTCAAATTTTTGTCCGGAAATTTCCCATGTTGAAAATATATCTGATTGGCAGATGGTGCCTTTATAGCATATCTTGAATGTCAAATCCCTTCCAAAATGATTTCTATTGAGCTTCCAAGTATTATTCTATATTGTATTTTTTTTTAAAAAGGTAATCTTTTTAAAGATTTCTAAACCATAAAAGTATTGGTGTAGCTGTTTGCTAGAGTTAATACTCTGTAGAACAAATGTTTTTCCACAAGCTGAAAACCATCGCTCTGATGATTCTGATATTCTTTTCATTTCGATACCTGATGAAGTTATGCAAGCATGTGTGTGTGAACCCAGGAGCAGGTTTTCCTCCATATATGTTTTTGATCTAGCTGAAGCTGGAGAAGGAGTTGCCAGAAGCCATCTAGAGACCTGGGAGGAATCTGCATTTGTGAGAATCTGTGTTCTGCTGTTCCTTGCTCTTCCTCTGAGGAGAATGCCTTCCTAGTGATCAATATGGGAAGCCTTGTGCCTTTTTTGGGAAAGGGAAGTTTTGGGTGCAAAGCGCAGCACATCATTTTAGCTACAGTGTATTCTAGTAGCTCAAGGGGTGTTGCAGTATTTCACTCTATTAATTGGAAAGATTTTTACAAATGGGCAGTGTGGGAAAAGCAAGGCTAGTTCCTGCTCTCAGTTTCCCCTATAAGGAATTCAAATGCTCCAGGAAACATTGGGGTTTTGGACTCCTAGGGCCACTGCTCATTGCAGACAGCTCAATCCCAGGGGCATGATTAATTGCCTCCTTGACCTATTCATTTGCAATTTGGCTGATAGAAACAATGACAAAATTTTGGGGTTGTCTAAACATTGAGTTTCTTGAATGAGTGAGAATATACTCAGCTTTGTTACATCTCCTGCTTACCTTGACTTCTTGTTAAGGTTTGTACACTCTTCTCTTTTTCTTGAAGCATCATTAACTTATATCGATGATGCTGATGTGAGTGGGGAAGTTGGAGTGGTTGGTAAAAGTTTCAAGGTACTTGGGATTCAAAGTGGTCCAACAGATAAGAGAGGTTGTTTTGAAAATGGCCCTTTCTCCTTGTGTCACAGAGAGACTTTTTTCTTGCAACATGCATGAGCTCATTATGTCTGTGATCTAAATATATAAAGAAACCTATAACCATTTTCCTTCATTCCGTTCACTCAGGATTTGTGCAGTTTTGCACTAGCAAAGTCAATGTTTTCTGGTGTATTCAAGAGGATCTTTTTGGGGAAAACAGTTCTTATATATACAGGCTTTTTCAGTAAACCAGTGCCATCTTATATAGTACCTCTTAGCTATGCTTTCTGTATCTTTCATAGGGTTGAAAACTGAGTTGAATTGGAAGATTAGGAAAAATATCTTGTCCTGCTGAGTAAAACTGGCCATTTTAAAATTCTATGCTCTATCCCTTCTCTCAAAAGTAGGAATTTCAAATTTTGAAATATTTTGCTTAGCTAGTAGCTTGATAGAAAGAGAAATTTCAGCATGATCAGTATGATCAAAATGTGTGGTGTTTTTTTTTTTTCCCCCTCAAGATTTCACCATCTTTCAGAGCAGCTATTACACAGATGCACGAAGCAGCATCACCTACATTGGTCAGGCTGTAGTTCCCAAAGGCTGTGCTTGCACGTGGGTGAAGACCTGGTGCTGTCAGGACTTTTGCTTCAACAAAAAGTGCACTGGGCATCAGGCTTGCGTGATAACATTCATTGGTCTTGGCCATTAGTGTGAAGTCAGGTGGGGGAAAAAAAGGCAAAGGTGTGAAATTGTGTGTTCTTGTCAGTCTGTGTGGACAGACAGAGCTGTGAAATAATCCATTCATATGGGCTGGACTGCTGCTTCAAAAGTGTATATATAAAATCTGAGTGGAAGTGGAAAGTGCTGTCAAAGGAAAGCAGAATGAATTTTCTGACTAAAAGTTGATCATAAATCAAATGACTTCTGTTTCCCAATGTATAAATGTCTTACAGAGATAAGGGTTGGTCAAACAGAAAGATTAATCAAACAGAAGATACTCCTGTTCCTGAACTGTTGGAAGTGAAGGAGCTGCCAGCAGTGTTTGATGGATTCAGCATGTCTTGTTTGCTCCAGAACATCTACTGAACTCCAGGAAGTTAATTCAGACAGTAGTCACTTGCATGGAGAGAGTGGTGCAGCTCCTCTTTGTCCCAGTGTTCAGTGAGTAAGGCCAGTGTCTTTCACTTTACCCTTGTGCCTTTATCAGGGTTCAGATTAGCAGTCTGGATGAGAAATTGGGGTTTGGGATGGGTGAGGTGTATGTATTCAAGGAAGGGAGGTGGAACCAAGGTATGGGTGAAGTGGGTGAAAGAACAGTCCCTGATTAGGTGAGTGCTGGTGAAGAGCAGCCTCAGGTCTGGTCACCGGAGTCCTGAGGAGGGTTGCATATGCAAAAAGATAAGTGAGACAAGGAAATACACTGCTGCCTTAAAACTACTTTTGGTGTCGCAGTTTGCTGCTGTTGCTCAGATTAAAAATGCATCTTAGTTTTCTTTAAAGCGTGTTCCTTAGGGCCCTGCTTTCAGAAGCTGTCCTGCCAACTCTGCTGCAAGCAGGCGCAGTTGGTGTGTGGGTGTTGCAGCTTGGGAGAAGTGAGAACTTGTGGGATTCACTCAGAGGGCAGGGAAGAGAAGCTGAGCTGGTCCCGGAGAAGCAGCTAAGTTGGGTGAACCTTTGCTAGTGGAATTCTCTTCATAGGAGTATCCTACAACACTTCCTTGTCCCTCATTGCTCTGTGCAAATGCTAGCACTGCACACAAAAAGATACATACACATGTGTTTACTCTGCATATACAATGCTTTGCTAAGAACCACAAGGAGGACTAATAAGCAGGCCTATAAATGACTTCTGTGGACAAAAAAATGGTGATAAAATCTTAAGTGATTTGTTGTTCTGTTCTTACTAACCATATGGGGGTTTTGCTCAAATTAATTCTTGAACATACTGTACAATGCAATGGAAAATAAGAGACATGGTTTTATGTAACTGTGAATGGTTGAGCAAGCTAAAAATTCATGGGAATCTAATCATTTAAAAATGCTTTGCTGCCAACTTGTGCCTCAAGTCAAAATAGAATGGTGTGTCTTGTGTCCGCAATGCTGGAGCTAAACTTTCTTTCAAGACTGCTTTGTGCTTGGCGCCATGCCAGAGTAAAATCCAATTATTTACATTTCTTTATGTGCTTCTAAAGTTTATTGAAATATTACTCCTGTTAATAATATCATCATGGTCATTGTGTGTATATATAAATGTATAATGCTGAGTTTGGGATTACTGGAGACTTGAGTTTTTCTGAGTAAGACAAGGCAGCAAACTGATTCTCCTTCTATCCCAGCTGAGCCAAATTTCCATGTAGGTATATTGGTCTGCTTTTCTGGACTAGTATGTTGTCAACGTTGTTTCAGTGTATTCCTGCATCTGTAGCTCATGCTTGTCTTATACCTTCTTCACTGAATAATTCTGACCAAAATCATAAGATATTGTGAGGGTTTTGTTGCATATACGGTGTTAAACAGATGAGCAGAACACATATTTTCCCTAGTTGATTGGCACTGGTATTTTTAAAATGGATTATGTTTTCGATTCTCCTTGTCTTGCATCAGCAGAATATAGACTCTCTTGTAGTTTTAGTGCATTTGGAAGACATCTCAAAGTGGTGGCTGTCATTGTTCATCCAATTTCAAACAACAAAGACAAATATATATATATATATATATTTTTTTTAATATATTTTTTAAATCTTTGACTGTATGTTTGGAGGCTATGGAGAGCTACAGTTTGGAAGTGGCTTTTGAAGTCCAGGATGATTTGAAACATGAGGAAAGACACCAGTAATTCTGCAATTTCTCCTTCGATGTCTTTGTTCCCTATTCTCCCACATCACTTTGTTTTAGTCTGGGAAAATGATTCTTATGCTGTATTTACTAGGATTTTGAAGACTGTTCAACAGAGAAGAGACACAGAAGTGATAGTTGACTTGAGGCTTGTGGTTTTCCTGAATAATTGAGTAAGAGTCTAAATTTATAAACTATGCAAAGATGGAAAACCTTTTCAGACCTGTATGTGTTAGAAGCAAAAACAAAATAAAAGACTGTTTTCTTTTATGCCTGTCTAAACTAGAAGATTCATGGTATCCTTCACTGAGAGGAATAAGAGTACACTTATCTGGCATTTGTAAGGTTACAGAAAGGAATAGTTATACAATAAATTTGGCTGAAAACCCTCTCCTTTCCAAAAAAAAAAACCCCACTATAGCAAGGAAGGCATTTTTGGTTTATCACCGTCATAATTTTTACAAAGTAGGTGGTTGCAATTGTTTTCTATGCTAGATTTCTTCATCTATGAATCCTGTTCCTAGTGAGCAAAGTTGTCTGATCACCAGTTCAGCAGTGCGCTCTTGGCTGAATTTGCCAAGCAAAACTCGATAGTGTTTGTTATAGATGGGTGACTTGTGAGAGAACCCCAAAGGGCCAGGAATCTTGCTGGTACCTCGTTACATCTTACCAACTCTCAACTGAGCTCTTGTGAAATTCCTCTGCTTTCAAACCTACAAGGACAAATTATTAAAATTGTGAGACAAATGCTCTAACTAGGGGAGTTTTTGTAGGCAAAACCAAGACATGTTGTCACAGAGGCATGAGGAAGTTCAAATGGTCCATTCCCATACTTTGTGACTGGTTCTACTTCTCCTGTGGCTTTGTAAACATCTGGAAAAAAATCTAAACAAAAACTACCTTAATTTGGGGATTTTGAAGTTGCAAATATATTTACTGATTATGGCATCCTTTGGTTTACCAAAATATACAGAGTGCCAGCGATGCCCCTACCATTTGAGTCACTCTCAGGATGTTTACCTCTGCGTTTTGGAAGTGCTAAACCCAGTGGTGTTAAAAATCCTTTCCCTGCCATCAAGTGTAAGAAGGAAAAAGTGTGTGTAAGCTCATGTCAAGTAACAGACTGAACTTATGTTTCAGGCTTTTTTAGACTACTCATTTCCACTCATATTCAGAGTTTCTGTGACATAATGCCACAATATTCTAAAATAAATTACACTCTGCAGTTGAACTTTATCTGTTTCAGATTATAGCCAGAGATTTTAACCTTTGAGCCTCTGAAATAAGTGTCAACCTTTTGCCTGACTTTGTTTTCTCTGCAGTGAACTCTGTATCCCTGAGTATATTTCTAGTCAGAAAGCTTGGAAAACACTTGGTAGAAGAATTCTACTCATAACTTCTGTTTTGTCTTTTTATGATGATTATCTATAATGAGCAGCATATGAAAACATGTTTATCTAAATACAAAAAGAGACACTGTGGGAATTCTCATTTGGAGGAAAAAAACCCACTTTTTCAGATATAAAGGGTGTTTTTTTTAATATCCGATGATTTGCATTGCAGCACAGAGAAGAAATTCCCATAAGCTTTATTCAGAAAGCGTGGCTTCTGCTGTAGGGTGATTAAACTGGATGTTACTTGAATATGTGATCTGCCTAGATGAAGTTTCAAATGGTGTTTCCTTACAGTAACTACTCTGGCCAGTCATGTATACCTGTGGTTCCCATTGAACTGATGGGATGTGGGAAGTACAAAGACAGACAACCGTGCCATTACTGCTGACTTGCCCTTGTCAGTCCTTGGTAAGATGACCTCAGTGAGGCTAATGGAAATATGTCTGTATGAGCTGTGGATTTGGATCACAGAAAGGAAAAAAAGAAAAACGTAGCAAAGACAGAATGCTCATTATCAGAGTTTGAGGTAGACAGGTTACCTAGGCTTACAGCGGCAGGATAAAATAAGGATCATTAACGACCTCTTTTTATTATGGAGCCCTAATGTTCTGGACTTTGTTGTCTTGTCACTTACACCCGTGTCAGATTCTTGATTTGGAGCACATTTGCTTTCTTCCCTTGAGGTCAGTGAGATGTTTTCCCCTGAATTCATGGGGAATCAAATAAGCATTAACTAACTGTATAGCCATACCTCTCCCATAGGCTTTTCGTAGATGTCTTCTTGCCATTGCACAGCCTTTGTTTGAATAGCGTCTCGCTGGAGGGCCTCCAGCACCTTCTTGGGAGTCACAAAGCCATACTGTGCTTCGAGCAAAGCCAGGTCAATTTTTTCTGCCTTAAGGATTCCTATAACCTCATCTTGAGCCTGCAGAAATACAATGTTAATGCTTTATTTTGTTAAACTAGAATTATGTATTAACATGTTATTCAGATACTTTATTCTTTTAATATCAAGACCACTAAAACCTGGTTTTAGAATGCTGTATATAAAGTGCCCAAAGATGGTTATTAACATGAAAACAGTTTAAAAGCATGGAGGGTACTGCATAAATGTGGAAAAAATGATAAACATGCTTAAATATGCTATTAAGAGCCCTATATAAAACATGAATTTTTCAGAACCCTCTCCAGTTATTTGTAGCACTTTATAAGATTGTAAATCTTACAAATGTAATGATTGTAAATGTAGATTGTAATGTCAATTTTAGACTATTGTGTGGCATTCGCAATGCAAAATCTCAGCACAAGTGACCTGGGGCTTTAGGAGTTTTTTTTTTTTTTTTTTAAAAAAAACTTTTGGTGCAAGATTTTATGATGGAAACATTTCACATTCTGTGTAGCTTGGGTACAAAAGTAGCTTTTGTAGTTGAAACCAGTCTGGGGTCACCCGGTCATCTTCTGTTGTTACATTGAGCAAGTGTGAGCGTTGAACCTAGGGAAGTGTGTGGTGCAGGGCTCTGACCTTTGCAGCACACATTCCTAAAGCATGCAGTCATTTAAAACAAGATGAATTGCTTTTCAAGCTGGCAGTAGGTCCTACCTGTACACACAAGCATGTGTGAAACAATGCCTTCTGTATTTATAGGCATTTAGATGTGCATGCAATTGTGCCTGGGCCTTCAAATAACAAACAGCCTGTGGTATCAAGGGCTTCTTTTTGGAATTAACACCTGGAATGGCACTCTCAATTTGTGAGTGCATACTGAAATGCATTTTAAAAGGTATCAGTTAATGGAATGTGGTGTTATCTGGAAATCAAACATAAGAAGATTCTTTTTCTTTTTATCTATGACATCTAAATTCAAAATTTAAGTATGTATGGGTTTTTGGAAGATCTGAGTTGACATTAGAGGAGGTGGAAGGTTGGAAACAAAAGAAGACGACTTCCCACTTTTTTCATTTATAATGCTTTCTTTTGAATAACAGACAGTTTGTTATTTTCATTTCAGCTTTATTATACTAAAGTTTCTCATCTCATCCCATTCTGATTTTAAATATAAAAGTTATAAGCATATTTTGCGTATATGCATATATATATGTATATATATCCACATGCATATTAGAATTTCTGAGAGAAATTTTGGAGTAGTGTGTAACATTGAATTTTAATCTAAATTAAGAAAGAGCAAGTGAGCAGAAGCTAGAAAATGTAATGTCTCACAAACACACAAATTCTTCTATTTTCACATGATCACGTTTCATAATAGGTAGCAGTAGACAATAAATTTTGATATCACTGTGAAAAATATTAATATTGAATGTTTGTTTTGTGAAGCACTTCTGTAAGAATATATTTACATAAGAATATATGTTTATGTTAAGAGTGGAACTATCCAGATGCTCTGTAGATGATGAACCATGAAAGCATGTGATGAAACCATTTATACCTCTCGGCCAGTTTGTTTGGTTCTCCGCTGCAGAGCCCTTTTAAGAGGCTGTCACTTCTGGGCAATCTGCATCCACAGAACAATCTCCTCCCTACCTGCTGGAAATCTGAGTTACATTTGGCCAGGATGGGTTTTGATTATTGCTTGGCACCTGGCTCCTCTTTCAGGCAGAAAAATTGTCTTGTCTTTTAAAATCCAGTGTTTTGAGAACTAAGAGGACACCAAGCGCTTACTCTTCACCTTGCAGGAATGAAAATGGGTGTTTTTAGTTACTAATGTTACAGATGTTAAAATATAGTTGATGGAGTTACTTCTGGTGACCTGGACCAGTATGGCTAATGCTCATGGCTTCATAGGAGAGAGGAGATTAGAAATAATTACATGACAGATCTGAAAAGTCTCTAAAATGTTCTCTAAGTAGTTTTTATGTGACAAATACTTTGCATTTGAAGTACTCGGTGGAACTCAGTACTCAGATAGGAAGAAAGTTTTGTGGTCTCTCCGTATTGAGAGTTATGTGATCACTCATAGTGGAACAAGAATGTTTCTGGAATTATACGGATACCTTGTGAATAGTTTTTGTTTGCACTTAGGGGAAATGCAAAGATGACTTTTTCTAGGTGATTGTCATTCCTAGTATTTGGATAAATTGCATTTTTATGTACATTGTAGTTTGTTTGCTCTCCTGCAGCAAAATAGGTAGGGTGTTCCTTAAAATGGAAGCAGTATGTGTTTGCTGTACAATTAAAAAGCAATGCTTTCATCGGGAATATAAAATAAGAGAATAAATCACCTGTAATTCACCCTCTAGGATACTAAGAAGAAATAGTAGGTCATCACGAGAGAGATCTTCTGTTTTCTTGAAAGAATCTCTTCTTTTTTTCTCTGCCTTAGGGCTTCTTAGGATGGTGCTGGTTTGGGCTACATCACCCTCCTCCTGCTTTCTCTCTACGTTTCCTCTCCCGCTATAACCAGGATCATCTTTATGGTGATCCTTTGGCCTTTGTCGGCACAGCTTGGATGTGGTTGGGCTTCCTGTGCTGTTACTTCTGGAGCGCATGGTGTAAAGCTCTGAAGCTGAAGGGAGAAAAAGTATACGTTTTAACTAAAAGAGGATATAAAACTCTTACCATCATTTGTGGTGGGCAATACTCTCTCCAGACTAGAAGTTTCCCTGCCACACAAGGGGCTGCATGTCATCTAAGTGGAGCCAACAACCTCTTGTCAACCAACAGCTCCCAGCTGAGGTGTAGTGAAGTACTGTAGCCTTATTTAGTGGCAGTGACCATATACATCCCTCAGATCAGGTTCCCACTTCAGGAATGATGGGCAGCTCACCTTTCAAATCCTACTTCTGTGATGAGGCAAGTTGAGGTTTAGAGGGTTGTCAGGGGAAAGCTATTCCTGTTCCTATTTCTTAGCATCGCATCTCCTACAGGGATAGTCGCACTTTGTTTTCCTTTCTCCTTCACTACCATTAGTCATGCAGTTGCAGAGTCTACATTTGGCCAAATGATAAGGATCTGCACACATCCAGAGTGCAAGATACAAGCCTCATCCTTCAAACAAACCAAAAAATCCCCAACCCTCTGTTTGCTGATTACAGAGTCTCCCCTAATAACCATGGAGAGTGAAAACGTAGCATTTCTGTGGTGCTGGACTCCTGAGGCTATAATACAGGTGTGAGTACCTAACCAAATGGAGAGCCAGTTGTAACTAGGCCCCTTTGAAGTGCTGCTGTTATGTAAATATGCTTTAATGCCTTTGCAGATAAATGAGTAACACTGTATAAATATTGAGTACTCCAGTTTTGCTTATCAGTCCAAAGATTAAGGGATGAATGCGTTACAGTATACCTCCTCAGGGAGAACTGTGATGTTCTCACAGCAGCCTAGCACACAGAAGCCAGCTCATGCAGTTGAAAGGAGAAGTTAAGCAAATTCAAATTTCCAAATTGCCTCAAATTTTTGCTATTGAACTGTGAGGCTAATTGCCGGAAGTGCCAAAATCAGCATATTGGGCATTACTTCGGAAAAGAAGCCATGGTTTTATCCAGAAAAATAGTTGTGGCCTTTGGTAGGCAGGAAATGACTATGCTGCTGCTTTTTTGCCTCGCAAGTGTTGGCTAGTAAAATCCTTTTGGAGCTCCCCCTTCAGCCAGACTCTAAATCTGAAGCTTTAGCTTTGTGGCTGCACTCTTCAAACATGATGATTTTCCACTGAATCCAACAAATACATGTTTGTGTTGCTTTATCTGCAATAACTGAGGAAGAGGAAGAAGCTTTTGGTTCGAATCATGGTTGGATGGTCGGCAGGGAAAAATGATCAAAAGCATGACAAGAAAAATAAGTGAAACTTTCTGTAAAGCTTAAGTCTCTTTCAGTCTAATGCATAGCACTCAATATCTTGGGTCTTTCATAAGAGTTCTAACTTCCTAACTTGTTCTTCCAGGTTCCCAAAGACCAGGGTGTGTCAGATTTACACAGCAATGTGCCCTGAATATCTGCGTTGTGAAGGTGTACCTTAGGTTGGGATGGGGCCTTTTATAGTGCGTATAGGAAACTGAGGGCTGGTCAAAGCCGGCAGACAACCATAGTCCCTCCTTATGGTTGACTGAAATTGGCGTTTGTCCCCTTCTTTCAGTTTTACATACATTTTGTTTCTTTCTTTGTGGTCCACTTATTTAACTTACTTGCCCTCTGCACCTTGTTTGTAGACTTGCTGTTTAGGTGCCCTTCAAGCATAAAACACAATCTGCTTGTTTGGCTTTTACATCGAGTTAATGGCTACTGATTACAACAGCGTCAAATGTAGGAATTTCAGGTTAAATCAAATGGCTTAAATTCACTCTGAGCTTATCTATGCTCTCCTTCTGCAAGCAGGGGCTACTAGGAAGTGCAGAGGGCTACCAGGAAGTGCAGAGACAGTCCAGAAGTCCTTCATTTTTTTTGCCTCATGCATGCCAGGAGCAACAACAGTCTTATTTGGGTATCGAGCTTTATTCCTTGCTGGAGGAGCAGTGGACCAGGCACATGATAAAGAGATTCGTAAATTATCTGATGCTAAAGCGATTTTTTCTATATGTGAACTCCATAGTGGCATGTAACCTACGTACACACACGTGTAGAAAAGCTACGTGAAGTGAGAACCTCTTTCCTGAAGAGCCACGTGAATAACTGACCAGCATTTGTATAATGTTAACTTGGTCTCCACCCTCTCAATCATATTCTGCAGGAGATGAAGCTGCTCTTTGGCAGCAGTGAACAAGCAGGTGGTTCAGAAATCCCCTTACTTTTACCTGAGCGACTGAAATATTTTTCAGAGATTGCTTGACCACAGACACTGTAGGATTTTAAGAAACATTCATTTTTTTCATCTATTTTTCCCTTCAGTGTTTTGTCTTTTAGTCAGTGATGGACTTAGGATGGACTAACAAAATCCCTCAGAGGACCAGATCTTCCCTTAATCCCTGGGTAAGGATCCTGAATTGTGAGAACTTGCCATTTCTTTCAAAAATCCATGACTAAGCAAGGAATTAATGGCTTTCTGTTGTTTAAAATCTCTTAAAAGGATATAGCAATTCTTTTAATTTGTTGAAGTCAAAAGGAAACAGATTTATTTGTAAAAGGGCTTGTGTTGCTGTTGCTCAGCCTGCCAGCGTAAGGGGAGAGTACAAAAGTGTATGGCTTGTGGAAAGAAGTATCAAGCCCTCTATGTAAGTCCCTCACTATGAACATGGTTTGTGGCAAGAAATAAAGGTGGTCTCACCATTGTGAGACAGGAAATTTCTTCCTGTTTGGAACATTGCGCTCAGCTCTGGGCTGAGGTTTCTTTACCTTTTACTTGTCAGAAGAGAGGATTATGGGGAATTGATGCCAATACATTGAAGTGCTTTGGGATGTGCGGAAAATCTCGCTGTCAAGAACTGAATGTCCAAAAGGAGACAGAGGAGTCCTAAAACTTTATTCGAATAAAGGGAGAGTCCCCGCACAGGGACAATAACATGGAGGATTTTTTTTCCACTGTTTGCTCACCTGGGTTTAGGTTTATCCTTTTTTAAGTACTTCTCACATTTGTTCATAATTAGACACTTACACTGTGTCTTATAAAGAACTCACTTTAAGAGACATATTTTTCATGCATGTGGAAAAAATATTTTAACATCACACTGTAAATATTTGAAAAGGTAAACTGTACAGGGCCATTTTTTCTGCTCTCCTTTCACGTGAATTTTGCAGTTTTCTGAGACAGGTTTTTATTACTACAGCATTCTGAAATAAAACTCAGCTGCTCCAATTTCAATTATGTGAGTTTGCATTCCAAACATAGAATTTTCGCTTTTTTTATGATCATAAGAAGCAGTTAGCATTATTTAATGCAGTGTTTGTGGTTTCATACGTACTATTCAGCCGCTGTAATCTTGGCTCTAGCATATAAGTATTCTGTAATTATAGTGTTATCCAAAGGAAAAAACTGAAAATAGTTCTACATGAAAAGAAAATGTTCCTATCTTAGAAATTATGCACCTAAATTCATCCTTTTCCCTCAATACTCTGAAATTAACTGGATTGTAGACATTTATGTAAGCAGGAAAATTCAACTCCTATTTAGCTTAAAGACTGTAAACTGTATGACCAGGTACCTTTTAAACAAGAGAAAGAAGGAAAAGAAGCTTGCTACAAAGAAGCTGGATTAATGACACTTGGTTTGCTATGGCTCTATGTCCTAGGCAATCTACATACCCCAAACATTAATAAACCTAGTTCCTCTCTGCTTTCCCTTTGCCGGAGACTTTTTTAAAAAAGTGAATCTTATAGAGACCCATGTCAGGATTAATATTTCCTTGTACCCAGCACAGTACAAATAAAGTGGAAGATAACCGTCTCAGCCATGGAGTTAATTTCATAAAAGTTTACAGTGCTAAAACCCAGGGGAAGTTTCTCAATGAACATGCCCCTCCAAATGCTGTGTTAGCTTGTCACCCCACTGTCACTCCAACAAATATAATGTAGAGAACTCTGTAAGAATTACAGAGAAATTTCAGTCACCCAATGCAGTTCTTTTGTCTCTGACCTAAGTGATGAACTTCACCTGGGCACGGATGAGTTCACACTCACTGCTTCACCAGCCAACTTACCTTCAATAGTATAGTTGTTCTTTTCTGATGCCAAGTGGAAGAACTCTGTCGAAGTGCTTGTGACAAGCCACGTACTTGTGTGCCCTTAAATATTCTGGTAATGTGCTATAAGGTTGTGCTGAAAAGCAGCTTGTAATCGCATCTTTCCAAACAGAATCTAGTTGAAGAAATGTGGTGTTTTGATAATACTAGTTGTAATAATTGTGAGCATAGGGAAAGGAAGAAACCAAGGGTGTTTCAGTGTCTACTTGTGTGTGTGTGTGTGTGTGTGTGTGAGAGAGAGAGAGAGTGTGTGTGCACACCTGTGTAGCTTATTTTTAGGAAAATATTGAATATTCACTTCAGTATGCATCTGTGTTTCATGTAAGGCTTAGTTACACAAACAAATAATTTTATGCTTGGGGTTTTATGGCAAACACTAAGGGTCTTCAGTTAGCTTGCCACAAGAGAGCTGTAAATAGAGTTGTAGTCCCTTGCATTTACTATTGATGAAAATTATCTAGTGTATGATAACTTGTTAGTTTGCAGTAACTGGTCCGAAGTATTCAAGACTGAAACTTCTTTAAAAAAAACTTTGAGACTGTCTCCATTTCAATTTCACTCATTTTTGATCTGTTTGATGTTTGCATGGAATGCTATACATATGTGCATGAGGCGTGAAATAGGTAGAAGAGATCACAGTCAGGAATAAAAATCTGCATGTTCAAAGTGAATATATATTAATTTTCTGCTCTTTTTTCAATGGCATTTTTGACAAGCATAGCTTTGTTGAGACCTTCCTTTGTGTAGGAGTATTCTTCTCCTTTGTGGGGTTTTTATTTTTTCCACACATGAAAACAAACCACAGACTTTTAAATATCCTGAGAAAAGAGTCTTCAAAGAAAGATCAAAAGTCTTTACCCATGTCTGAGGAAGCGGCATGG